TTTGCTTGCTTGTTTTTACAAGCTCAAATACTGCTTCACGTTGAAGAGCACAGACGAAGGAGCACTTTAAGGTCGGCTATTTTCCGCCAAATAACCATCCCTCGTCCAAGACATGTTCCTCGTCAAAGACGGCAACGGCAATTTTGGGTCAGACCGGGACGCACTGCCAGCTGGTGGGAGAACTTTGAGATGGAAGTCGTCCTCCCGGAGGAAGGTAGGTTTGTAGGTTTGAAATGTAATTGACAACGCATGTATGCGGTTAGGTGTGGATGCCGTTTTTTTAAAAACCGAGGCTGTGTGGACAGAAGTTTTTTTTTAGGCGGAGGGCGGATTTATAAATGCCCTGCTACGTGTAGACAGGGCCTGAGTGTACGTTAATGTGGCCTAAAAAACTGGGAACGTGTCTGGTTTGTTAACGTCAAAATTAGGATAAGAGTCGTTCAAATGCTGTAGGTGCGACTATAAGCCGCACCTGAATATAAATCGCATGCTCTCTTTTTTAGAGAGATATTGAATGTTCTACTTGTACAAGTCACACTGGATTTCAGTCAAAGATATTATAAGAATACAAGAGTGCAAATGACAAATCTTAAAATCTAACTGGACCTCTGTGAACTACTTATCAATTCAATTTTTTTGGCACCACAGAAAAAATAAAAAAAATAAGCCACACCTTTCTATAAAGTGGCTGCTGCTCCGGGTGCCCAGGTGGCACAGTGCCAGTGAAATGTTTGTGAGAGCCCACATTCACACCTGTGAGGCTCTGATACGGCATCTAACCTTTCGGTTCAAGGAACGCCTGGAGGACTCTGAGAACGGCATCATTCGGACTCTGACCAACGGTAGAATGAGCTCATGTCGCTACACGTCTGCTCTGAGAAAGCACTGGACAGATACACTTTATCATATCTAAATCTGCTGGGAATGATACTACACATTTGAATGCATTGTCCTTTTATTGTTGATCTTTTAATTTTTGTATGGACCAATTTTATCTTGAGTCCGAAATAAAGATTAATAATAATATAAGCCACTGCCTTCAAAGTGCAGGAAAAGAACCGCGCCTTATAGTCCAGAGTTTACCGTAACTTTAGCACTTATGGTGCGTTCAGACCAAACGTGATTTCTGCGGGCAAAGCGGCGGGTCTACATTGACACAACATGGGGGACGCGCGCCAAGGAGCGGCAAGAGATCACGCGGCGCGATTCGCGCGGCCAGAGCGGCGCGAATTTGAGCGTTTCGCGCGGCGAGTTTTGAGATGTCAAGCGTTTTGACGCGCGTTTCGCGCGATTCGTGCCTCCAACGCGGCCGCCGCTAGAGTTGAACAATGTTGAACTTTTTGGGAGAATTCGCGTGTGCCGACCAATCAGGAGCTTTCTCCTACAGTGACGTAGTGACGCATTTCACTACCGGAAAAACACTAGTAGATGACAGCTATGGAGGACACGTCAATTGCTCAGGTCGGTGCTCATTCTGAGCTATATAACACTGCGGACCACAGCTACCGGGACCGAAATAAAAAGGAGCTTGCTTGGAGGAGGGTTAGCGAGGTGGTTGGTGTCTCGGGTAAGTTATTTTAACTTTTCACTGTTGTAAATATTTCCCCGCGAAAAAAACTACTACTTTCCGGCTTACGAGTTGATGTGTTTATTCAGTGGAAGTTTGCAAAAAGCGGTGGAAGAATCTGAGGGACACATATGCTAAGGAGAGCAGGAAGGAGAAGGAGAAGGTGAAGAAGAGTGGTGCAGAAGCAGGGAAAGGCCAGACGTGGAAGTACCTTGTGGTCATGTCCTTCCTCGAGCCCTACATCACTCCCCGTGACAGCTCCGGGAACATGCCAAGGCGAAGGGCCGAGGAGGAGCAGACCACAGGGTACAACCCAGGGACGTGCGGTGAGGTTTGTGATTGGGGAGGCACTGACTTTAAAAGTCAGATTTACAATCATTATTCAAATAAAATAGCATTTAATCACCAATGCAATGACATCCACAAACTTTATATACTGTAAAGATAAGAGAACCAGCTTCTTTTAATAATCTCACAACAAATCTAGCTGCTGACTCTGCTCCGCATCAAACAACATCTTTAAGAAGCGCAGGTGCGAGAGACGCGAGGAGAGAGAGACGCGAGGAGAGAGGAGCAGAGAGAGACAGAGAGGAGCAGAGAGACGGAGACGCGAGGAGCAGAGAGAGACGGAGACGCGAGGAGAGAGAGACGCGAGGAGAGAGAGACGCGAGGAGAGAGGAGCAGAGAGAGACAGAGAGGAGCAGAGAGACGCGAGGAGAGAGGAGCAGAGAGAGACAGAGAGGAGCAGAGAGACGGAGACGCGAGGAGCAGAGAGAGACGGAGACGCGAGGAGAGAGAGACGCGAGGAGAGAGAGACGCGAGGAACATAAACAATAATTTAAACAAGTTGCAGAACTCTTGAGCAGTGTTTGAATCAGTGTTTTTCGGAAAAGCACTACTTTGCCGGTATCTGTCAATGTTCAACATAAAACACAGATTAACAAACTCCTCCCCCGCAGCCGGACTAACCTCGTAAGTCCAGTGGTGGTCTCCCAGTCTATATTAATTCTTTCTTTGTTTGAAAGTCCAATTGAGAAAAAAAATCTTCATTCAAATCATCCATTTTCCAGCAAAAGAAATAGCATTTTGGGCTGATTGTTTGTTAGCAACTCTGGTATGAACTTTATGCTCACTATCACCCCTAGCGGTGAGGCACAGATACCGCCTGCCTCACGCCAAGCTTTTTCCTTGTGTGTTCATCTACGATCAAAAGACTTAAACTAAATATAAATTGTACACACATACGTGCAATACACTACTAAACACTAAGAGGAGTTTAAAAAATGTTTTTAAAGCAGGATATTTGAAACAAACGGTGATATATCAACTGCACGAGCTGAGTGCACTCAGACACACACACACACACTGTGAGGGAGCGGTCTGGGGTGAGGCACGCAGGAGCGCTGCCTCACCTCGTCTCTTTGAATAGGAATAACGGGATTTCGGCAATTTTGACTTCAGAAATGATCAAAACTGATGGGAACCGTGCCGAATATACATTAAAAGCATAGGACAGTGGATATAAATTATATATTTAAACTAAAATAATTATTAGTTTCCAATAATGGCAGGTGAGGCTCTGCCTCCCCTGCCTCCCCTGACTGCACGTTCCTGGTACAACCACCCAGAAGAAGAGCCAGAGGAAGCAGCAGCAGCAGGGCTGTCAGGTGCTGAAGGTCGGTGTCATGCAGCAAACAGAGACCTTGAACAGTTGGAAAAAATACATTTCTTTCCTTTCTATTACCCACATTTTGCTGACTTTTACATTTATATTGCTTTCTGTGTATGCATTTCTTTTAATGCTTTCTTAACATCATGGCCAGGTGAAAATAGGCATTGGCTATTTTCAAACCAGGATAGATCTTGATCATGTGTTGTGTTAAATTTCACTTTTCCCTTTCATATGAACAAATCATTTAAATGTAAATAATAATGTACATTATTATGTACATATAAATGTCATAAGCGCAATGTACACATGATATGAAATAATTGTATTTCTTGTTTTCTTCTGGCACAGATACTGCCACCACCACACAAGGTGAGACATCTTGGCCTGAGCTGCCTGAGCTGCTGCTGCTGCTGCTTCTTCTTCCTCAGCCGGTTCTTCTTCTGTGAGGGCTGGACCTTCCCCTGCTTCTGCACCTACAGGTGTGGCTTTTTTTAATCATTGTTTTATTTTTATTCTTATTACAGGACTGTTCATATAAACAAAATGTTACTGCATAATATGCCAAAATTACCCAAGGGCTGTTACATCAGTGTAGACGACAAATTTACAGAGAAACAACAAGATGTCAAGGCACTACAGGTGGAAAGAAGCTTTGGTCTGATACAACACATCTTCCCTCTTTCTTCGATAAAAACATACTACTGAAATACCTTATGCTATAAAAGTACTGAACAAATACATGCAATGGTTGTCACAAGATGGCAGCTATCCTGTTTAATGCAGACAATAGAGTATTACTTTTTTAACAGCCAATTTCAAATTTCATTGCGAAATACACTTCAGAGATATTAGTTTGTAACTGTCGAAATTTGTGCTTGTGTGAGTAATTTCATTGATAACTGCAATGTTCAAGTTATTTTTAATAAACACACTACTTAAAAGTGTTTTACATGTGTTTAACTATGTCTACACACTCTGGCTTTAATACAGATATTATTTGCTCTCTTCATTTTGCTTTTTTGAAATACATGTTCCACTTTTTAACACTGTGATTGCCCTGTGTTCTTTGTTGGCGGCTCTACGGACGTGGGCCTCTTCCGAGCCCTCTTCCTTGGTGGGCCTTCAGAGTGGGAGCGGGAGCTGCTGGAGACTCTACGGACCAAAGCAGCCGCACCGCCCCACTACACAGAAGACCATCAGTTCCTGCTCTCTCTCTTTCCTCTCCTGCAAAGGGTGGCACCAGAGTCAAAATAATTTGTGAAATTCAAAATGTACCAACTTTTATATGAAAGCAGCACCGTTCTGCTTAATTTGGAACCATTGGCCAGAACAGACAGTTTTTTTTACCTAAGGTGACACCTTTTGCAGAGGAGGAAACAGACATGTGTCCCTTTCCTCTTCCACCGCACCTCCTCCAAGCAAGCTCCTTTTCATTTGTTTATATGTACATTTAATTTATTTTTCATTGTTTGTTCCTTTTTTTATAAAGAAAATATTTTTCAAACCTCATGTGTTCTACTTCAAGCCAACCATTACTACCTTTCATATAATATTGACAGAAAATGCTATTCCATTTACTTTTATAAGAGCTGACTGGGTTTTATAGAAGATGGAATAACTAACACTTAAAGAGCGATACAGTAGTTGACAGTATTTTTTATTCATTTCACCTTTTTAACAACCTTTTAATTACGGAAAAGCTTGAATGTGCATTTGATTAACCTGAAGTTGGAGTGGAGTCGCAGTGGAGTCTGGCAGTCATTACCTAGAAACAGAAGGTATACAGATGAATAGAATAGTGCAAATCAATATGGGTTTGGACTATGGCCAGAAAAAATGTAAAGAATTTCATATTCAAGAGGCTCAGCACATTATATGTTAGGAATGAAGTTAGGCTCTTTGTATTTTGTGGGTGGCTCTGAAAAGAGCCGTTGTGGGTCAGTCTTGTGGTGGACATGACTACTCTGTGGGCTGCCACGGCAGTGCTCCCTCCTCACTGAAGTGGGCCATGAACACTTTCCTTATGTCCACTGCTGGCTTCCAGGCGGCCATCCGCTGCACGCCTGGAAGTGGTTCTTCACCGGCAGCAGCTCCCCTCGGTGCAGGAACCTGCCCATCTCCAGCCATCCTCATGGCTGGAGATGGGCAGGGCGCATTAAATTGCAGCGCAGTGAAAAGGCCTCATCTGCCAAGAACACATGGGGCTGGGGTCCTCTGTGGTCAGCTCCAGGTATGCACTGGTCAGGAGGCAGGTCGAGTGTGCCCTCGCGCAGAGCCTCACCAAAGGCAGAGTTGGCCATGATGCCTCCATCGCTGGATCTGCCGTACCCTCCCACATCAATCACCCTGAACCTGTACTGGGCATCCACTACAGCCAGGAGCACAAGGGAATGGTGCCCCTTGTAATTAAAAAACATGGACCCAGAGTTGGGGGGTGCCTTCACAGCCACATGCTTCCCATCAATGGCCCCACAGCACAGAGGGAACCATCGGACCTCAATGTCCTGCACTATGGACCTCCACTCCTCTGCTCCAGGCACAGCCATGAACTCCTCCACGAGGCAGTCCCAGATGGCTGCCACCACATCTGGGATGAGCATGGAGACGGTGGATATGCCCGCTCTGAAGCTCCCCGCAATGGTCCTGTAGGAGTCCCCAGTGGCAAGAAACCTGCAATTACAAAATGATATGAACATATTTATCACAATTACATTCATAAAAATCACGTGACAAAACTTGTGTAGCATAAAATACGTTAAACTAGTAGACAGTAAACATCATAGACAGTAATCATAGACACCATATTGTTGCATAATACTGTTTTCTGAGCTATTACATTGTGGATTGTGATTGAAAAATGACACACTTTGTAAGTATTTATGAATTCTGAATGGGGTAAAAAACACTAACCGCAGACAGATGGACAGGTGCTCTTCAGCTGGAATAGAGCGCCTGTAGTTGGTGTCCTGGTAGGAGATCCTAGCGCCAATGCGGGTCAATAGGTCGTCAAACTGGGCCAGGGAGAGACGAAAGTACCGCTGAAAGCGACCCTCATCCGAGCGCAGCTCCCGGAGCAAATGGTGAAACTCACCAAACTCCAACCGTCTACGGACTATCTGATGAATCCAGACACGTCGTCGATTCGCCCTTTGACGACGTGTCTGGCTTTATTTATCAGATAAAGCAACTCCTTCGCTGACATCCATGTTGGGAAACTACAGGCAAAAGAGACAAGCCCCGCCCCTAAACGCTCTCAACGCTCTGTGACAGCGGCTGCCCTCTAGTGTCCTGGCCGCGCGGCCAAGTTTCTCTGTGACAGCGGCTGCCACAATTTGTCACAAGCGGCCCAAGCCGCGCGATAGACGCAATTTGGCCGCAGAAATCGCGTTTGGTCTGAACGCACCATTAGAACATGCTGCAAGTTTACAGAAGAAACAGTGTCGATCCTAATCACTAAATCCAATGGAATCTTCTTCCTTTGCGTCATTTCTGAACAACTCCGCCCACTCCAAAGGTAAATTAAATATAAAATGTAAATATAAATGTAACAATATCCCACATAAGTCTCTCCAGAGTATCAATCGCACCCACAGCCAAACTATGACCAAAACTGTGACTTATCATCCAAAAAATACGGTATACAGCCAAAATCTCAACCACATAGAGATACAGAATCAACAAAACACACAGTGGACTTCGAGAGACATTCTGTGTGTGAGGAACCAGTCTGTTTACGTTCCCACCGCGATCCTATCAGTCCAACATTGCCATGTATAATAATAATAATTAGCCATGTTTGCTGTGTGGAGGTGCCCTGGTAAATTGAGACGCTGGGACGCAATAGGCAGTTTTCTAGCAACAAATGCAAAAAAATGTATTGCCGGCAGCTATAATTAAACCTTGTCACCTTTTCCTCTGCAACAAAGTCAGCCCTGTGAGAGATCCACAATGCACATCTTTCAGCCACTGCATAAGCACCACCTCACGTCCTCACACAGGCTCCGGAGTTAAAGGTGCAGTAAGTGATGTTGTTAGCTTAGCCGTAGCACCGACCGGAAACCACTCCCCCCTCCCCCTCCCTCTCCACCAAACCAAACATCCAGCATTTTCTTTTCTTTGTCACAACAGGGAGAGTGGAGCAAACGTGAAATTGGCATTTTCTGTTCAGCCCTTTTAGGTTTTAGAAAATCCGATAACTCCGGTGCGCTGACGAGAAACAGGAAGAGGGTGAAGGGGGTAAACCATGGATCTATTATAATAACTGGATAGGGTATTACTAGCTTGGAGCTGAAGAACTCATGTGCTCGGGGGATTCTCACGGTACTGCAGACTAAATCAGACCAAATTCACGTGGGCTACCCAGAAATTTTCCCCATAGAACTCAAAGTACACTAAAACAGCTCGACCTCAACTGACAGAGAACCTGACAGAGAACCTACAGCTATCATAAAGATCGGGGTTTGTGGGGATCCTGAACTTTTTGTCTTCTTAAATCCTTCGGTTTTCTTTAAATCCACACTTTAGTGCCACAAACTCTGCCCGTCTGGCTCCCGCTCTAACTCCCGCTCTGATCAACAGCTCTGATTGGTCAGAGCGCAGCCGAGCCCCTCTGTGCTCATACATGTGAGCCACACTCTCATATTTGGCGCAATGCATCATGGGAGATCATCCACTTCGCAGAACTGGGAGGACTAGACGATGCCCAAATACAGGCGAGTTTCCCATGGATCTCTGCAAGTTTCAGGCGAGTTCCGCTAATCTTTCGGCGCCCATACCGGTACAAAGCACCACTGAGCACAACCATCTTGGATCGCCGGGGCTTGGGGTAAACGCTTCCCATTGTCTCGTTGGCAATGAACGAATCCCATTGGTTTATTTTTATCGGTCTGCTCCAAAAAATGTTTATACATTTTTGGAGACTATAGACATCTGGTCAATTCCATTTATATTTTTTAAACACATGACTACTTTTAGGGTTTACGGAACTTTTCGCACAATATTGAAAAAAATGCGTCTGGAAAAAATCACTGACTGCCTCTTTAAAGCGTTGTCATTATTAACATTATTGAACCGATATGAACTAAATCACCAGTCAGGGGTTGTCCTTGGAACTTAATATTTGGTCTTTCTCAGCTGAACTTACTGAAAATGCACATAATGGTGTGTTTCTGGATTGCCGTGAGTGAGGATACGCCATTTTTAATCTATCTTTCACACATGGCAGGTCCATCCGGTCTCTAAGTCCGTCTGTCAGATAAAAGCCACTCAAGAAATGACAAAAGGAAGTGATGCAAACGTCGGGAAACCAGCGCTCGGGATTTGAAGCGTGTTCGTGAGAAACTTGTGTGTCAGTCAGTTGAACCGGTTTGTAAGACTTGTCTCAATCCAAACCTTCTTTCTCTCGATGCGTTCTCGTGTTTGGCTGTGCTTTCTGGAGGAGGTTGTCATTTTGATTGCTCAACGATATGGTGAAAAAGAGAGGGCTGTAGTTTCCGGGCATGATCACACACAGCTGATGTAACTGTATCTATTGTGACTATTGCTAAGAAAAAACAGTTGGTGTGGTTGGGACTATAGCATGGTGACCGTCAGACAGAGGAAAAGCTTAAAACCATTAACTATGTTCCCCTTTCATGGACGACGGACATTAGCAATACTGCATTAGACTATTGTGCACATACAAAAGGCCTTTTTCTCTTTTGTTTTCCATTCCATAAAAGGAGGTATATAGCAGTTTTCTACGGATAGATCATGAAGACAATCCTCCTAATTGTCAATCATGGTTTTTTTTCTTTTTCACTGTTTTTGTTTTTAACTACCTTTGTTAGTGCTCAGCAGAAAGGATTCATGGTCCGAACCAAGTGGCTGCTCCACCTTGTGACCCGTCCTGCTCCATCCAGAGGCTACTCCACCTCTGCTGCTGTGACCCGTCCTGTTCCACCCAGAGACTACAACACCTCTGCTGCTGTGACCCGTCCTGCTCCACCCAGAGGCTACTCCACCTCTGCTGCTGTGACCCGTCCTGTTCCACCCAGAGGCTACTCCACCTCTGCTGCTGTGACCCGTCCTGCTCCACCCAGAGGCTACTCCACTTCTGCTGCTGTGACCCGTCCTGTTCCACCCAGAGGCTACTCCACCTCTGCTGCTGTGACCCGTCCTGCTCCATCCAGAGGCTACTCCACCTCTGCTGCTGTGCCCCGTCCTGCTCCACCCAGAGGCTACTCCACCTCTGCTGCTGTGACCCGTCCTGCTCCACCCAAAGGCTACTCCACCTCTGCTGCTGTGACCTGTCCTGCTCCACCCAAAGGCTACTCCACCTCTGCTGCTGTGACCCGTCCTGCTCCACCCAGAGGCTACTCCACCTCTGCTGCTGTGACCTGTCCTGCTCCACCCAGAGGCTACTCCACCTCTGCTGCTGTGACCCGTCCTGCTCCACCCAAAGGCTACTCCACCTCTGCTGCTGTGACCTGTCCTGCTCCACCCAAAGGCTACTCCACCTCTGCTGCTGTGCCCCGTCCTGTTCCACCCAGAGGCTACTCCACCTCTGCTGCTGTGACCCGTCCTGCTCCACCCAGAAGCTACTCCACCTCTGCTGCTGTGACCTGAAGTGCTGTTGCTGATTTTTACTATTGTTAGCTTTTTAGAATTGTCCATTTTATTTTTTATTTTTGCTGCTACTGGACACTTGCATTTCTCCGACGGGGATCAATAAAGTATCGATCTAAAAAGGGGCCGTATATATAAAATGTATTATTATTGTGATGGTAGCTCGCAGTTCTCTCCGGGTACTTTGAAAATGGCAGAGGGTCGCAAGAGAAAACATTCTAAAGTGTACGAGTTATTGAGAAAGAGAGACAACAAAAGCAGTGTTTTTGGGGAGATTCTTTCACACGACGGCGTGCGCTGAAAGGCTGTTTTGGATTCTATTTGGGTAAATCCATTTCAAATCGCTCCCAGTAAAAGATATCTACGTCTATAATGTCGGACGTCGTGGAACAAGTGCAAATCTCTCTTGGACAGCGAGCCTGAGCGATGCCGACAGTGACTTGTAAACAGAGACGTGCTTGGGGGAAACTTCAGTCTCCGTTCCCTCTGGAGCAGGGAGAGCGCTGCAAATGTGCATTTTTTTCTCCGGAAATTATTTTATTTGATCATTATGTGTTATTTTACTATGCATTTTCATATTTATTGTATTCTTTGCTTCTGAAGTTTGCGGATTCTTATTCTATTCCCTTAATCTTAATCTAGCAAAAGGACAAGGAAACCATTAAAAGGTGGATGTGTTGTGTCTCCGTAGAAAACTAAATACAAATGACACACACATCTGATCTAAAAACAAAGCTGCTCCTGTTCCTTCCCCGTGTGTGTGGTCATTTTATGTCTCGTGTCCAGCTGTCAGTGTCTCTGTGTGTGTCGTCCAAACACAAACACAAACACACAACGTCACACTGATGCTGCCTTTCATGGACACATTTGTGACCCAGCGTGTGTGTCTCTCAGCTACAGGGCATTGCTGTCACCTTTTGATCGTGACGGCGGAGGAGAAAGGGAGAAAAGCTGCAGCAGCAGGAGGTGTTGATGGGGTGTATGGGTTTCTTTTCAGATACTTGCTTTTAGTTCCCAGCATCACAGTGATCTGATCATACTGAGACGTACTATCCAGACATGACTTTAGCGGCTGATGTCAAGGAATTTGGCAAGAAAAAAAACATCTTGGAAGAATTTTCTGTTTCAATACGTTGCTGGTTACTTATTTTAAATATTATGTTCAAACCCAATCTTTATTTTATTCATGCCACCCCTCGACTGCACTTTAACTTATATTTCATCTGCAGATACAGTTATTTTAAAAAATATGTGAAGCCGGATTGTGGACAAATATACTTGTGAGACCGCACTTTCTATCACATGATTGTTCCTGGAAACCCCATATAAGTAGAGAAAATGAGAATCTTGTCCAGAAATCCACTGACTCAAAAATATACAGAATGATGCGTGTCGACATGCTGCAATACCACCCCTGGGCCAGTGGGGGTGGACCCGGAATGAGAATTAGCCAATGCTAACATATAGCATCTTCTTACCTCTCGAAATCATCTTTACAGGATGGTCCAAAAGTTGGCTCTTGGCCCAAAGCTCCGTTCCACATGTGTGTCAATGTGAGGGGAGTGTTTTTGGACCAGTCTAGTTTAGTCGCTGTGGACTTTTGAATTAGAATCAGAATCATTTTTATTGCCATGAATGGGGCTTGCACCGGCTGACGCATAACAAATGTGTTTTTTTCACATTTTCCAGCCCCTGCGGTCAGTACAACGTTCATAGTTTTACACTGGTCCAGACCAGAGCCGAGAGGATTCATGGTCCGAACCAAGCGGATCAGGCGAAAAATCCACTAGCGGAATGCTAACCTCTGCTCCACCCAGAGGCTACTCCACCTCTGCTGCTGTGACCCGTCCTTCTCCACCGAGAGTCTACTCCACCTCTTCTGCTGTGACCTGTCCTGCTCCACCCAGAGGCTACTCCACCTCTGCTGCTGTGACCCATCCTGCTCCACCCAGAGACTACTCCACTTCTGCTGCTGTGACCCGTACTGCTCCACCCAGAGGCTACTCCACCTCTTCTGCTGTGACCTGTCCTGCTCCACCCAGAGACTACTCCACCTCTGCTGCTGTGACCCGTCCTGTTCCACCCTGAGGCTACTCCACCTCTTCTGCTGTGACCTGTCCTGCTTCACCCAGAGGCTACTCCACCTCTGCTGCTGTGACCTGTCCTGCTCCACCCAGAGGCTACTCCACCTCTGCTGCTGTGACCCATCCTGCTCCACCCAGAGACTACTCCACTTCTGCTGCTGTGACCCGTCCTGCTCCACCCAGAGGCTACTCCACCTCTTCTGCTGTGACCTGTCCTGCTCCACCCAGAGGCTACTCCACCTCTGCTGCTGTGACCTGTCCTGCTCCACCCAGAGGCTACTCCACCTCTGGCTGCTGTGACCCATCCTGCTCCACCCAGAGACTACTCCACTTCTGCTGCTGTGACCCGTCCTGCTCCACCCAGAGGCTACTCCACCTCTGCTGCTGTGACCTGAAAATGCTGTTGATTATTATTACTGTTATTAATGGTCAATTTTCTTTTCTTTTCAGTTTTTCTGCCACTGGTACACCTGCATTTCTCCAATGAGGGGGGTTCAATAAAGTATCTATCTACATGCAGTATCTCTAGTTCACCTGTTTATACAAATACACCGTGGGTTGCTACTAGTCGGTAAGAAAAAACCCGCTGCTCCATAATGATAGGCTGATGAATGAAGCCGTCAGTGCACCCATTATAAGTGGCATATTAAAGTGCACCCATTATAATGGCATATTAAACCGCGCATGTATATTGTAACCTGCTGCCTGCCTGACAAGTGATGGAGAGGAGGAGGGCAGAGGCGAAGGGTGACGCACTCATGAATCAAACACACCTCCGATGTTGCTTTAGTCGACCTAGTATCTTTCTTAGTTTTAGCATTCGGTTTGTCTGGTCCTGAGCCCCTTCATTATTCAGAATCATTCAATCAAGGCACGGCAATTCAACAGAACCACTGCCAGTCACCGTGCAACAGTGTACAGAAAAACATTCAGAATTGTTCAGATAAAGTATATTTGGAGGTTCTTGTAAATAGACAATAAAAGTAAAGAAGCTTGTGCTGCTTAATTACATGTTTTGGAGGTAGATTTTCAGCTGTTGTTGCCGGATGCGGTTTTAAGTATTAACCCTTTTTGTTCGGACGAAATAAGTAATACTGAATTTTAAGAAGATATTTCTCAAAAAAATAAGAAATATCTAAGAAATAAGTAAATAATACTTGAAATGTATGTTTTTAAACTAGAATCAAGTCATTTGGGGCTAGCATTATTTTCTAATTTACAGAAATCTTGTCAAGTCATATTTTCTGGTTCTATTGATAGATTATTTTTGTATTATTCTCAGCAGTATTTTACTTGTTTCCAAATATTTTTGTCTTCTAATCTTCGAGGGATTTTTTCCAGTCCATGTAATTAAATGTATAAAGTTAATTTTGTCTTCTTCCGTTTAAGGCTTCTTAATACGACTATAAATGTAAAGCTATAGTACTGCTTCGTTACTAGATGTTTCGGAGGTAGATTTTCAGCTGTTGTTGCCGGATGCGGTTTTAAGTATTAACCCTTTTTGTTCGGACGAAATAAGTAATACTGAATTTTAAGAAGATATTTCTCAAAAAAATAAGAAATATCTAAGAAATAAGTAAATATAATACTTGAAATGTATGTTAAAATGTATTCTTGCCGGATGCGCCTCAAATCAGCAATATCAGATATCAGGTGGAGCAAAGAACGCTCTCCAACATCAGGGCAGTCTGGTCCAACCCTGACCCTTGCAGTGCCTTAACTTCTCTTTGAATGATTTGAATGTATTTTGTTGTCTTTTTTAACTGTTTTGTATCTTTTAACTCTATCCTATATTGGAAGTTTGTATGATTGCGAGTAAGAGACTAATGCACAATTTCCTATAGGATCAATAAAGTATATATCTATATCTATCTACAAAAGAGAAAATCATATAATGGGCCGGGATAATGCAAAAATACAGTGCCTTGCGAAAGTATTCAACATTTCGCCACATTTCAGGCTTCAAACATAAAGATATAAAACTTTAATTTTTTGCCCCACTTTTCAGTTTATTATTTGTTAAAAAAGTTTAAATTATCCAATAAATTTTGTTCCACTTCACGATTGTGTCCCACTTGTTGTTGGTTCTTGACAAAAAATTTAAGTTTTATATCTTTATGTTTGAAGCCTGAAATGTGGCGAAATGTTGAAAGGTTCAAGGGGGCTGAATACTTTCGCAAGGCACTGTAGTAAGAACAGAAGATCATGTTTGTAAAGATGAATTGAGAGGCCATTGAAATCAGGACGCGGGGTGCACAGACCGTCAACAGGGACAAGGGGGCTTCCACCTTGTTTCACACTTAGGATTCACTTCTCCAGAGTCCACAACACGGCGGGGGGCGGGGCCAATCTAACAGATCTGTGAAATCTGTAAGACTGACTGCATCCGGCAACTACAGCTGATCGTCCACCTCCGAAACATCTAGTAACGAAGCAGTACTATAGCTTTACATTTATAGTCGTATTAAGAAGCCTTAAACGGAAGAAGACAAAATTAACTTTATACATTTAATTACATGGACTGGAAAAAATCCCTTGAAGATTAGAAGACAAAAATATTTGGAAACAAGTAAAATACTGCTGAGAATAATACAAAAATAATCTATCAATAGAACCAGAAAATATGACTTAAGGTATCTGAAAATAAGAAAATAATGCTAGCCCCAAATGACTTGATTCTAGTTTAAAAACATACATTTCAAGTATTATTTACTTATTTCTTAGATATTTCTTATTTTTTTGAGAAATATCTTCTTAAAATTCAGTATTACTTATTTCGTCCGAACAAAAAGGGTTAATACTTAAAACCGCATCCGGCAACAACAGCTGAAAATCTACCTCCGAAACATCTAGTAACGAAGCAGTACTATAGCTTTACATTTATAGTCGTATTAAGAAGCCTTAAACGGAAGAAGACAAAATTAACTTTATACATTTAATTACATGGACTGGAAAAAATCCCTCGAAGATTAGAAGACAAAAATATTTGGAAACAAGTAAAATACTGCTGAGAATAATACAAAAATAATCTATCAATAGAACCAGAAAATATGACTTAAGGTATCTGAAAATAAGAAAATAATGCTAGCCCCAAATGACTTGATTCTAGTTTAAAAACATACATTTCAAGTATTATTTACTTATTTCTTAGATATTTCTTATTTTTTTGAGAAATATCTTCTTAAAATTCAGTATTACTTATTTCGTCCGAACAAAAAGGGTTAATACTTAAAACCGCATCCGGCAACAACAGCTGAAAATCTACCTCCAAAACATGTAATTAAGCAGCACAAGCTTCTTTACTTTTATTGTCTATTTACAAGAACCTCCAAATATACTTTATCTGAACAATTCTGAATGTTTTTCTGTACACTGTTGCACGGTGACTGGCAGTGGTTCTGTTGAATTGCCGTGCCTTGATTGAATGATTCTGAATAATGAAGGGGCTCAGGACCAGACAAACCGAATGCTAAAACTAAGAAAGATACTAGGTCGACTAAAGCAACATCGGAGGTGTGTTTGATTCATGAGTGCGTCACCCTTCGCCTCTGCCCTCCTCCTCTCCATCACTCCTCCGTCAGGCAGGCAGCAGGCTTGCAATAAACCATGTCTGTGGACTGCACATGTGCGCGGTTAGTAATGTGCCTGATAATTAGGATGTTGATGGATGCTCACACCGGGGCCTGTGTTTGTTTGTGGTTACAATATACATGCTTTAATATGCCACTTATAATGGGTGCACTGACGGCTTCATTCATCAGCCTATCATTATGGAGCAGCGGGTTTTCTTACCGACTAGTAGCAACCCACGGTGTATTTGTATAAACAGGTAAACTAGAGATACTGCATGTAGATAGATACTTTATTGATCCCCTCATTGGAGAAATGCAGGTGTCCAGTGGCAGAAAAACTGAAAAGAAAAGAAAATTGACCATTA